TCCAAGGTCTCCCCGGAGCCTTCTCTTCTCCAGGCTGAACCCCCCAACTCTCTCAGCCTGTCCTCCCAGCAGAGGGGCTCAGCCCTCCCAGCATCTCCATGGTGGCCTCCTCTGGCCCTGCTCCAACAGGTCCATGTCCTTCTTGTGCTTTAACCTGCAAAGCTCCTGCTTGCTCTTCCTCTCCAGTGAGCCGTGGGTCAGCAGAAAGGGTTTCTGAATGGAGTTGACTCTGAAGGGCCATGGGAAAGGCTGGCACTGGGATGCTCCTTCCAAGCACAACGATAACCCAGTGGTAGGAAGAAACCTGGAATCCTGCTCTTTAACGGTGGCAGAGAGGAGCTTAGTCCTATTGTGCTCTTGGAAAAAGACCCCCATTGATTTCTGCTCTATTTGAGAGGACAAAAGATTTTTTTCTAATTATTTAACGCTGTTTTTTCTCTATAAGAGGCACTTGACTTGCAGCCTCCGTCCCCTTGAACGACTCCATCCTTCCCACGTTGAGCGCACAAGCGTGAATTACACACCTTCATCCCCGCTCCCCACCAGCAGATTTCGTATTTACTGGCAAAAGATTCCGAAACATCCATCTGGTGAATTCAGCTGAATCAAAATAATAAGTTGAACTCGATTCAGAAACCCTTTGGCTCCCCATTTGGAGGCTCCTGGGTTTTGCCAAACCGATGCCATCCGGCAAATCCAAGCTCCGCCACCCGAATCCCCCCCTCGCCCCCAGCTTCCATGGAAACTCGTGGAAGACTCCGTAGCTTCCCTTTATTCCTGGCAGGAATAATCAAAACCTTGAGGTTTTCACTTCTTTAAAAAAAATCTTTTAACTTCCAGCAGTTAGGGTTTGTGCTTGCAGATAAAGATGAAATCTTAATTTTTTTCAAAACACAAGAAGTTTTCTGACTTCGGAAAGGTTTGGAAGCTGTTTTCCAACAAGAGTAATTTCTCTAGTTCTTTTAAAAGGATTTTAACTAAATTACATGAAGATATGCCAATGGCCTATTTCATATATATATATGTATATATATATATACACACACACTTCAGTGTTGGTAGATTGAGGCGTATTTAGAAATAAGAACTTAAAACTTAAGAGTATTTTGGCCAGAAATCCACAGCTTTTTCCTAAGTGGAGGAATCAAGAAGGTGGGAGCTGGAGGAAGACTTGAGGCTGTCACGTACCAGTAGGACAAGACGTGGCATGGCCAGTGACCATCTCCTGCCCTCCCATGGGCATCCGTGGTCCAGCAAACCAGAGATGGGAACTAAGCCAAGTTAAGACTGATCTACTGAAAAAAAAACAACCCCACAACCCTCCAAAAACTTGTCTTTTTTCACCCCAGGGCAGCTCCTACAATGTAACAGGCTCTGGATCAGTTCTCAGGCAGAGCCAAATGGGATAAAATCCTGGTCCTGAGCTCAAATTCCAGCAGATGCAACTTCATTCATAGAATCACAGAATCTTCTAGGTTGGAAGGGACCTGAATCACAGAATCACAGAATCTTCTAGGTTGGAAGGGACCTTAAAGATCATCTTGTCCAACCGTCAACCTAACTGACAAAAATAGACACCCACACAACAAACAAGGAGCATCATCACTAAACCATACCTCCCAGCACTACATCAACCCGTCTTTTGAACACCTCCAGGGATGGGGCCTCAACCACCTCCCTGGGCAGCCCATTCCAATGCCTGATGACCCTTTCAGTGAAAATTTTTTTCCTAATATCCAGCCTGAACCTCCCCTGGCGTAACTTGAGGCCATAACGGCCATCCAACAGCCATCACAGAACGGTTTGGGTTGGAAGGGACCTTAAAGATCATCTCATTCCACCCCCCTGTCCTGGGTAGACCAGGTTGCTCAACCTCCATGAAGTTTCCTTGCGGGCTGATCCCCAGCTCACCCTTTAGCTCCTGTATTTTCCGGATATAACCCCGTTGTGCAGGATAACCATGTCCCTGGGATCCCAAGTCACAGAATCACAGAATCTTCATGGTTGGAAGGGACCTTTGAGATCATTGAGTCCAACCATACACAAAAAACCACAACGAAAACCCAACCCAACAATCTCAGGCACTAGAGCATGCCCTGAAGTTCCACATCTACACGTTTCTTAAATACCTCCAGGGATGGTGACTCCACCACCTCCCTGGGCAGGCTGTTCCAGTGCCTGACCACCCTCTCAGGAAAGTCATTCTTCCTAATATCTAATCTAAACCTTCCCTGCCCCAACTTCAGACCATTTCCTCTGCTCCTGTCATTATTCCCTTGGGAGAAGAGGTCACCACTCACCTTTCTACAACCTCCTTTCAGGTACTTGTAGAGGGCCATGAGGTCTCCCCTCAGCCTCCTCCAAACTAAACATGCCCAGTTCCCTCAGCCTCTCCTCGTATGACTTGTTCTCCAGACCCTCACCAAGCTCGGCAAATATTTTGTCTTCAGTTGGAATCACACAAACCCCCACATTCTTAGAAGCACAGTGAGAAAAATAATAATAAAAAAAAGCTACAACCACTACTCAGTTGGATACACAGCCACCTGAAAAATTAATTCCCAAGAGTTAATCATTCTGTGATTCTAATGACCCACTGCCACGGCAGGACAGTCTCTCACATTGGCCACTGGGACTCTCTGGGTCTGGTCCTAATCACTCTCTTCATTAACAGCTTGAATGGTAGCTTAAAACTAATTTAAGTATCGTGGATGAGTGGAGAGAGGACGGGGAGGGAGGAGATGGGGGTGCAAGAACTCCAACAGTCTCATGGCACAGTTGTTCCTGGCCCTGAAGGGGCAGCCCCACCTTCTTTCCTTTCCTGGGCAATCTTTAATTTAATTTAACCCATTTTAAGCTCATCCTGTCAAACAGCTGTGACAAGGAGGAAAAAAGAGGTGGTGATGACTTGATGAACTGATTGAATCAGTTCTGCCATTCTACTCTGCTCTGGTGAGAACCCACCTGGAGTACTGTGTCCAGCTCTGGAGCCCCCACCACGAGAAGAAAGATGGACCTGTTGGAATGGGGCCACGGAGATTCTGGGAGGGCTGGAGCCCCTCTACTGGGAGGACACACTGAGAGAGTTGGGGGGGGTCAGCCTGGAGAAGAGAAGGCTCCGGGGAGACCTTGGAGCCCCTTCCAGTCCCTCAAGGGGCTCCAGGAAAGCTGGGGAGGGACTCTTGATGAGGGAGGGCAACCATAATACATGGGGAAAGGGTTTGACCCTGAAAGAGGGGAGATGGAGATGAGATGTGGGGAAGAACTTCTTTGGTGTGAGGGTGGTGAGAGCCTGGCCCAGGTTGCCCCAAGAAGCTGTGGCTGCCCCATCCCTGGAGGGGTTCAAGGGCAGGGTTCAAGGGGTTGGAGGGGGCTTGAAGCAACCTGCTCTGGTGGGAGGTGTCCCTGCCCAGGGCAGGGGGTGGGACTGAGTGGTCTTGAAGTTCCCGTCCAACCCAAACCATCCTATGGTTCTATGTGGGGAGTAAATCGCTGCTTTTCATGAAGCAGGAGAAGGCTTCATTGGGATCACCGTTTCTAAACTCTTAGCACTGTGGTCTTGAGACAAAAAAATCTGGTGACGGGCGAGAGAAGAAGAGAAATGACAGGAAATTAAGGAATCACCAGGAAATGCTCAAGAACTAGACCAGTCTGGTCCAGCAGGGGAAAGAGGGAAACCACAACCAAAAAAAGACTGGGGAGGAAGGAGGGGGAAGTCACGTTAGAAGCCTGGCAAAAACACCCCACCCCTTTTATAAAAGCAGCAGTTATTAATTGTTTGGCAGAGGAGAAACAAAAGAAATCAGCTGCGTTTCTAACAAAGGAGATTTTGATTTGATATTAGGAAAAATTTTCCGAGTGTGCAGAGGTGGCCCCTTCTGCCACAGGTAGATGAGGTGGTCACCTCAGATGGTGATGAGGAACCGTTTAGGTTCATTCCATCCTACCTGGGTGTAGGGGAGCTCGTCCCTCCCCTGTCCCTTCCAAAACCTGTCATTTATTCTCCCCCTCCCCGACCACTTTCGCGGCAGGAGATTAAAGCTCTTGACCAGTTTAGCAAGCCCTTTTCTTGGAAAAATTGGTTTCTTTTTCCTGGTTTATGGGGGAACGCTCATCCTTCAGCGATTTTCCAAGACCCCTGGAGTCATCCATAATCTGGGACAGTAATGTCTATCACTGAGGGTAAGTATCTGATTCTGAAGATGGGCCTTGTGGCTGAGAAGATGCCTCCAAAATCTCATCTCCTTCTCCTTTTTCACAAGATGCTTTTCTTTTGTCTTGATTCACAGGGTCCTCCATCTTCCTTGGAGAAACATCCTTATTTTCTTACAAATCGGGCTGGAGCGACTCGTTGCAAACACTCTACGTACGTCTTTGTTCTTCTTGGCCAAGATCTCCGAGCCTTCCATCTGCCACAACGATCTGCCTTCCAAGACTTCCACCAGGCAACTGTTTTAATAGAAGAAACCTCGCTTCATGAAGTGTCACAGCCAGTACCACATCTTGAACTCAAAATTCAGTTCTTCACCAGCATCTCGGGTGCTTTTCCAGGTACCTAGAGATGCTCACGGAGTAGACAAAGAGGATGTAGGACCGATGGGTCACCCACACCTTCTGGAGAAGCAGCTGGAGGCCAGGTTGAAGGCAGGGGGGCAGCTTGAAGGGCATCGTGCCCAGGAGTGGCCAAGCAAACCCAGCCCACGCCAAGACACCACACAGTCAGGTATTTGACGTTGTCTCCACTTATTTCTATCCAGTTTTGTTTGACAAGTGTCATGACAAGGACTTTGCCCTCATTCGTGTCCGTACAGCACCTGACAAGCTCCTTAAGTCCACTATTATCTACAAATCCCACAGCAAATGACAAAAATCAGGATCTGAAACCATTATGAGTTGGCCAATTTAAGCCGGAAGAATTGATCTATGTCAAGTGATGGCGTCTTTCACGGTTTTTAAAGAAAAAATTAAAAAAAAGTCATTTTCTAAATCAATTTTACAGATTTTAAATGGCCGGGATGGATGGGTCTTGGAGCAACCTGGTCTGGTGGGAGGTGTCCCTGCCCAGGGCAGGGGGATTGGAACGAGATGATCTTTAAGGTCCCTTCCAACCCAAACCATTCTATGATTCTATGATAAATACTTCAGCTTATCCAGTGTTTGACAACACAATCAAAGAATGGTTGATGTTGGCAAAGACCTCTGGAGACCAAACCCCTCTTCTCAATCAAGGTCACCAGAAGCAGTCTGTCCAGGTCCACATCCAGTTGAGTTTTGGCTGTCTCCAAGGATGGAGACTCCACAAGCTCCCTGGGCATCCTGTGCCAGTGCTCGTGTTTCAGTCTGTGCCCATTGCTTCCAGTCCTACCACTGGGAACCACCAAGAAGATCCTGATTCTGCTGCCTTGACTGCCTCCTCACATTGCTAATGTCTCCCCAAGTCTTCACCAGTGCAGATGTTATGGGAGATAAGAGTCAAAAGGGCAAAAAGCAAATGGACATGATGGAAAACAAGAAAGGCTTCTACAAGTACATCAGCAGCAAAAGGAAAATGTGGGTCTCCTGCTGGGTGGGGCAGAAGACCTGATGGCAAAGGACATGGAAGAAGCTGAGATGTTCAATGCCTACTTTCCTCAGCCTTTATGGCTAGAGAGGGTCCAGAGGAGGCCATGGAGATGCTGGGAGGGCTGGAGCCCCTCTGCTGAGAGGACAGGATGAGAGAGTTGGGAGGGGTTCAGCCTGGAGAAGAGAAGGCTCCAGGGAGACCTTCTTGTGGCCTTTCAATACTTTAAGGTGGCTTCTAAGAAAGACAGAGAGACTTTTTAGCAGGACCTGTAGTGATAGGACAAGAGGCAATGGTTTTAAACTGAAAGAGGATTTAGCTTGGACTTAAAAGGCTCCAGGGAGACCTTCTTGTGGCCTTTCAATACTTTAAGGTGGCTTCTAAGAAAGACAGAGAGACTTTTTAGCCAACCCAAACCATTCTATGATTCTATGATAAATACTTCAGCTTATCCAGTGTTTGACAACACAATCAAAGAATGGTTGATGTTGGCAAAGACCTCTGGAGACCAAACCCCTCTTCTCAATCAAGGTCACCAGAAGCAGTCTGTCCAGGTCCACATCCAGTTGAGTTTTGGCTGTCTCCAAGGATGGAGACTCCACAAGCTCCCTGGGCATCCTGTGCCAGTGCTCGTGTTTCAGTCTGTGCCCATTGCTTCCAGTCCTACCACTGGGAACCACCAAGAAGATCCTGATTCTGCTGCCTTGACTGCCTCCTCACATTGCTAATGTCTCCCCAAGTCTTCACCAGTGCAGATGTTATGGGAGATAAGAGTCAAAAGGGCAAAAAGCAAATGGACATGATGGAAAACAAGAAAGGCTTCTACAAGTACATCAGCAGCAAAAGGAAAATGTGGGTCTCCTGCTGGGTGGGGCAGAAGACCTGATGGCAAAGGACATGGAAGAAGCTGAGATGTTCAATGCCTACTTTCCTCAGCCTTTATGGCTAGAGAGGGTCCAGAGGAGGCCATGGAGATGCTGGGAGGGCTGGAGCCCCTCTGCTGAGAGGACAGGATGAGAGAGTTGGGAGGGGTTCAGCCTGGAGAAGAGAAGGCTCCAGGGAGACCTTCTTGTGGCCTTTCAATACTTTAAGGTGGCTTCTAAGAAAGACAGAGAGACTTTTTAGCAGGACCTGTAGTGATAGGACAAGAGGCAATGGTTTTAAACTGAAAGAGGATTTAGCTTGGACTTAAGGAGAAAATGTTTTATGCTGAGGGTGGTGAGAGCCTGGCCCAGGTTGCCCCGAGAAGCTGTGGCTGCCCCATCCCTGGAGGGGTTCAAGGCCAGGTTGGAGAGGGCTTGGAGCAACCTGCTCTGGTGGGAGGTGTCCTTGCCCAGGGCAGGGGAGTTAGACTAGGCAATCTTTGAAGGTCCCTTCCAATTCAAGCTATTCTATGATTCTGTGACTTCTCCAGGGTAACTTGCTCCAAAGGAGACACTGCACGTGGGCTGGGAGGAAAACTGGCAAAAATGGGGAAATAATTTGGGTCAGGAAGTGGATAACTGTGGATCCTGGACAGGCAGAGAGGGCAGGAAAGTTAAGTGAGAAGGTGGCACATGCACAGGTCATTTAACATATCACAGAATCACAGAATAGTATAAAGGCTTCTACAAGTACATCAGCAGCAAAAGGAAAATGTGGGTCTCCTGCTGGGTGGGGCAGAAGACCTGATGGCAAAGGACATGGAAGAAGCTGAGATGTTCAATGCCTACTTTCCTCAGCCTTTATGGCTAGAGAGGGTCCAGAGGAGGCCATGGAGATGCTGGGAGGGCTGGAGCCCCTCTGCTGAGAGGACAGGATGAGAGAGTTGGGAGGGGTTCAGCCTGGAGAAGAGAAGGCTCCAGGGAGACCTTCTTGTGGCCTTTCAAAACTTTAAGGTGGCTTCTTAGAAAAGACAGAGAGACTTTCACCACTGAGAAGAGTCTGGCCCAATCCTCTTGTTAAACTGAAAGAGGGTTTAGCTTGGACTTAAGGAGAAAATGTTTTATGCTGAGGGTGGTGTGAGCGTGGCCCAGGTTGCCCCGAGAAGCTGTGGCTGCCCCATCCCTGGAGGGGTTCAAGGCCAGGTTGGAGGGGGCTTGGAGCAACCTGCTCTGGTGGGAGGTGTCCCTGGCCAGGGCAGGGGAATTGGACTAGGTGATGACTAGGATGACCTCCCTCCACCTGCTGCTCACACTCTTCCTGATGCCCCCCAGGATGCCCTTGGCCTTCTTGGCCACCAGGGCCCATTGCTGGCTCATGGTCATCCTGTTGTCCACCAGGACTCCCAGGTCTTGCTCCTCAGAGCTGCTCTCCAGCAGGTCACCCCCAACCTGTCCTGGTCCATGGGGTTATTCCTCCCCAGGTCCAAGACCCTACCCCTTCCCTTGTTGAACTTCATGATGTTTCTCTCCATCCAACTCTCCAGGTCTCATCGATGGCAACACAACCTTCTGGTTGACACTTTTTCATTGTCAGGGTGGTCAAGCACTGACACAGGTCGCTCAGAGCAGCTGTAGGGTCTCCAACTTTGGAGAAAGTCAAAACCCAATGGCTCCAGCAGGTCACCCCCAACCTGTCCTGGTCCATGGGGTTATTCCTCCCCAGGTCCAAGACCCTACCCCTTCCCTTGTTGAACTTCATGATGTTTCTCTCCAGCCTGTCCAGGTCTCGCTGGACAGCAACACAACCTTCTGGTTGATACTTTTTCATTGTCAGGGTGGTCAAGCACTGACACAGGTTGCTCAGAGAAGCTGTAGGGTCTTCAACTTTGGAGAAAGTCAAAACCCAATGGGACACAGTCCTGGGCAACCTGCTCCTGGCGACCCTGCTACGAGCAGGGGTTGGCCTAGGTGGTCTCCAGATGTCCCTGCCAACCTCAGCCATGCTCCCTGTAGAAATGATGGATTTTTTGTTTTTCCTCTTATGTCAACAAGGGAACGGGACTTCCCATGGTGCAAAAATCTTTTCCTCCCTCGACATGACTCTCCCCAACCCTTCCCACGGGCAGCACCGCCACAAATGTTATAAAAATAATAACCCCATTATAAAAATAATTGGCCATTCAGCAATTTGGGGCTCCGAGGAGAAGCCAGACCTGCCCCACGCAGGGGGTTTGTTAAAAACCATGGATGAGGATGGCGGACGGTCCTGCTGGTGGGAGTTTTATGATGGCAAGGTCTACGGTATGAGATAGGATCAGAGCACAGGGGTTATTCCAGCCCAATTTAGAGCATACAAAGCCATACTCAAGGTGTATGAGGTGACACCCAGCTGTGGGTGTCCGTCAGCATTTGGGGGGCACACCCCACGTTTCTCAGAGGTAAAACCTTCCACCATTCTCTCCAAAATGCTTCCAGAGCTTTAGGAAGTTTGGGCAGGCAGAAGATGACAACCAACATGATGACCCTGTGCCTTGCTGCAAAATATACGCATTTCAGACAATTCAAGCCAAGCAGAGAATTAAAATTAACTCTTGCTGCAAAATATACACATTTCAGACAATTCAAGCCAAGCAGAGAACTAAAATTAACTAAAAAACCCAACAGAAACAGACAAGGCACTGCATGAGTGTTCCTGCAGAATGGCTGGGTGTTCTCATTCCTGTCAGGCTGGACCACAGAATCACAGAATGGTTTGGGGTGGAAGGGAGCTTCAAGACCACCCAGTCCCACCCCCTGCCCTGGGCAGGGACACCTCCCACCACACCAGGTTGCTCCAAGCCCCCTCCAACCTGCCCTTGAACCCCTCCAGGGATGGGGCAGCCACAGCTTCTCGGGGCAACCTGGGCCAGGCTCTCACCACCCTCCCACCAAACAAGTTCTTCCCCACATCTCAGCTCCATCTCCCCTCTTTCAGGGTCAAACCCTTCCCCCTCCTCCTAGGGCTCCCCTCCCTCATCAAGAGTCCCTTCCCATCTCTCCTGGAGCCCCCCCACTTGAGGGACTGGAAGGGGCTCCAAGGTTTCCCTGATGCCTTCTCTTCTCCAGGCTGAAGCATATTTAAGCCCAACTGACAGAAGGACCTTGGAGCAGAGACAAATTCAGTGAGTTGCTGTTGTCCTTCCTCCGGTTGGGCCAGGGAGGAGGAACCATTCCCAGCCCTTTGGTCCGGCTCCCTCCGGACAAGC